ATAGTGACAAGTAACAACAACAACAACAATAATAAAACCACTTCAAATTCAAACCAAAAATCATTATTTTCCTTTTAAATTTTTTTTATAGAAATTTCCTTCCCATAGTGTTTATAAGGTTAACTGAAAATATTCTCCTGTCATTTACAATTCTTAAGCATGAAGGAACTTTAATTCTTAAAGTATTGTTTCTAGAAAGTCAATGCAAGTCATAATGAAAACTGGCTTTGGATTTTTATTTTGAAAGACAAATTTCTCCATCATCTGATTCATGAGATAAGCTGGTCCCAACTATGATTATCAAAGAATTTCGATGAGTGGATATTTAGACATTCCCACAAAACCAACAATTTTTTTTGCTTCATTTTAGTTGGAGTTGATTTTATTCAAAATTGCATGAGCAAAATGACAAAGTACATTATAGGATTGTAGCAGATTTAACAGGGAGGAAATTTCAAATCACATCAACAAAATGAAAATTTAGGTATGCATGTTCAAATCTGTCTAAATTCCAAAGGACAATATTTCATGTTCTGCATTTAATAATCCCTATCTATGCCTTGAGTCCATGCTGTATCTATGCAGTGGCCCAATGAACTTTAGAGAGATGCTACAATCGATAAAAAGCTTAAGAAAAACATACCTTTAAAGAAGCAGAATTCCTGATCTGCCACACTGTTGATATTTGTAATAAAATACCCAAGGATGTGAGGTATGGTCCATTTGGCTTCATAATTCTATGAAGGCATAGAGGTTTATTTGTTATTTCTATACTTCCCTTTCACAACTGTCTACAAAAATAGTCAAAATTTAAGCCCCCATATCTCTTTTCTAAAAACTGTCACTAACTATATATTATATAGTCTAATAGTGTTAGAATAGCTCACTTCTATCCTGGAAGGAAAAAAAATAGATAAATTCACTCCTTGTTTTGTACGATGGCTACTTACTTGGCTTCTGTTGTAATACTTTGTTCTTATAGCTATGAGGGATGAGAGTGAGTTTTTTTCAGTGCTGGTAATTTCTGGATTTCATGTCATTGCTAATTAATTATAAGGAAAAGTATCAGGGATGATTAATTCCAACTTTTAGCAATGGGATTCTGATATAGGAATGAAAAGTGAGAACCCAGGCATATAGGATTATAGGAACCCAGGAATATAGTGGAATATATGGGAATATGTGATTTATTCATTCAAAAAAATGTGTTGAACCTCTAATAGCCAGGAATTGTTTATATGCTGGCAATACAAATGTAGATAAGCAGACATAAATTATTTTTCTTATGGGAGCTTGGTGGAAGGAGACTGAGAATACAGAAAAATATACGTAAAAATAGGAAACAGATTAAAATGTGACAAGTGCAGTGGAAGAAGACAGGTGGGAGGTTTGGTTATGGCTGTGTCTCGTAGAACATCTGTCCAGCTACACAGAGCTGGACCTGGACACAGGCCCCAGACCAGGCCCTGGTCTCCATCGTTACATGTAGCATGTACTAGCCCCAGAGAAAAAAGCTGGCTTTGACAGAATCCTTCCATCCTCTCTTCCCACACTACTCTATATTGTGTGTAATTGCCTTATTAGTTACACTATTTTCTACTTACTCAGCTAGAACGTAACCTGCACAAGAGTAAGAATTTTTATCCATTTTGTGCATTCAGAGGTTCCAAGCATCTAGAACATAGCCTGAAAAATAGTAAGATTTAATCAATATTTGTTGAATATATTTTAATAAGTATTTTTTTCCTAAAGAGGAAACAATAAGGTATTAACTAATGGCATAGGATTTTCTTTGCTACTTTTGCTCTACAGTGTATTCCTACTGACCACACATAATGATCACTCCCGACAGTCTCAAAATTTGTACAATCAAGAATCTCACGAGTAAAATATTTAAGAATCAAATTCTGATACCAAATTCATGGGCCTTGGAATATCAAGTGATAAAGGGCATTAACTGTATTCTTGTTCAGCTTTCTTTTTTTTTTAATATTTATTTATTTATACATACAGAACTGGGGTTCAGGCCAGAGATGTGGAGGTGAGAGGATTCACCAGAGACAGAGTGAGGAGCAGAACAGGCACATGTACTGAAATACACGGTTGAGGGGAGCAGCAGACAGGTTAGGAGAGGTCTTTTGTGACATGTGGGTCACCTCCTTGGCCAGGGATAGAACTCATGCTGCAGTACCTGCAGACAGCTTCACAGTGCTACACTTTAACCCGCTGTATCACCAGGGAGGGACTCTTGTTCAGCTTTCAATGACTCACTTTGTCCTCCAAAGAATGTTAAAAGCAGCCTGGTCAAGAAAACTTAACATTCACTCAATTTTTAGCAAAGTGTGGAAACTCTCGCATGGAGTTCGTGGAGTTCGTGAAACAAGTCCTTTCGACCGACAGACCTGACAGACATGGGCTGTTTTTCCTGAGTGAAAGGCATCACAAAGTTTCATGTTTCCTTTCAATAAAATAGTTTATCTCTTTTCTCACCCAAGGCACATAGTCATCTGCACAAATTCTTTTCTGACAAAGCTAGTGGTATGTTTATTTCTAAATCCAGGAGTTTCCTCTGTTATCCTAATAAAAGGATCAGAGGTTGAAAAGAGGTGACACTTGAAAGAACCACGAGATGGCTCTAGAAATGCAACTGGAGAATCGCCATTTAGGAGAGCAACACTGAGAAGAAATGCTCCAAATCAGCATGGTTTTAAGGATCAGGGCATACCAGTCCAGTGCACACCAGTGCTGGCCTTCCTTGCCATCCTGAGATACCTAGGGGTTTGCTGTCAGCACTCTGAAAACACTGTCTGTTTGTTATTGATTCACGGCTGCTATATTGGAGTTCAGGGTAAGATATAGTCGTCTTGAATCACAGCCCACCCTACACTTCACACAGCTGACAGGTATTCTTAAGAGTGTGAATAACATCTTTGAAGCCAATTCCAGGTAGAAAATTGGGCTAAAGTATTTTCATTGAGAAAGTACTTTATAGGGAACTTCACATAACATCATATTGCAAAATACCAGCTGAGCTCAAATGTGAGGAAATTTTGTTCCTTTTCATGTGTTGCTAGGAAGCCCCAAGTTTACATGGGCGATTTTTAAATCTGTTGCACTGAATCCTCATCCTGGCCATTGTGTAGAGAGAAGGGTTTGATGAACTAGAAATTAGTAAACAGTATAAAATTCCCCTCCCATTAGACATTTACAAGGCAAAGTAGCATTTAAACACACACACACACACACACACGCCTCAAAGAAAATCTGCTTTAAAGCACACCCTTTAACTTTGCTTAATTCAAAATTACTTTTTAAAAAAATGTTTAGTGGAATGCTGCTTACTTTTTAACCTGTAAGATACTATCCATTGTTAGTCACATCATTATTTTCATGCCCTCCCAGGAAAGCGAAACACTGACAATATGCCTTTGATTTTTAAGAACCATGTAAGCATACAAGTGACAAAATATAAACTTCAAGAAACAAGACTTTACCCTTCAGAATGAAATGGAAATGTGTATTCTAAAATGAAATCATAAACTCTAGCAATCTTTTGTCCATTCCATAGCCTGTGGTAGGACCCTTTGCATTCTGATCGAGATGTGCTTAATTGCATGCTGCCTCACACATTCAGTTATCACAGCTGGGTATTCACACGTCCAGTTCCAGCAATATGAATTTGTTTTTTTTTTTGAAAAGCAAATTATGAGAACTCAAGGCTTCTGATCAGACGGAACACCCATCACAGCTTGTTGGGGACCCGTGATAATCCTCTTGACAGATAATCCTTACTTCTCGTGGTTCCTAGTGTGTGAGTTTTCATTAGAGGCTTAACTATCCCAGGAAGGACCTGCATTTTCATTCCTGTGGATCTCCCCACTTTGTCTACTACTTATAGGAACAGGGTCGTTATAAAGGTTATTTATTAACAAGAGAACATTTTCCTCCATGCAATAGCTGAGCACACACATCCCTTGTTTGTAAGGCTCCTATTGTGTTGCTATGGTTGTCAGCAAACATAACCTTCAGTAGCCTGTTTGTAAAGAGTGTTGTTGAGGCTAATAGCAGAATTTTATCTAGGAGTCCATCAGAAATGCAACACTAACCTTGCTAGTATCATAAAATAAGTCATTTATTAAAGATACATAAATAAAATGTTTTTGATAGAAGCAATAAAAGTGTCTCTTGACTGCACAGACACCGAATTTCCAGGTATTATTTAAGGGATATAGTTATCTTAGTACATTCATGAAAATGGTTGAACAATGATCATCATTTTTTTCTGAGTTTCTTTTTCTCTGAATTCATGCAGCATTACAGTCATTTAAAGTATTACAGTGCTTGGTGATCTTGAAGATATGAAATAAATCTCTTCTAAGGCTATGTATAAAATACAAATAAAATAATTAGAAGTCATTTGAAAAATTTTATGAAAGCAAAATAATTAATCTTTCTTCTGTAAAAATAAATTATGAACTTTGTACTGAAATGTCATTCTGTTAAAGCCTTTAGCAAAGAGTTACATTCACGCTTTGGCTGTGTGTTCATTCTTATTTGCCATCCCCTCATGCATGCTGAAATGAGGTACAAGCTGTCTGCATGTGAGATCAACAGCTTATTTTTCACAGGAAAGGAAATGATACGTGAAATAGAATTAATGAAAAGAGTCAAGTGTCATATGATAGAAACAGAAATTCACTAAGAAAATACATTTTTCACGGTCTTTGTGGTGCCACAAACTTTGACTGTATTTTATCAAGGGGAGTTTTGAATCAAGCTACCCTGCCATTTCCATCAGACGAGGATGTTCATCCATTGCAGGTGGTCCCCGGTTATAATCTAAAGCATAGATTTGGTCGACCGACGGAAGAACAAGGTCGCACTCAATACTGACCACCTTCTGTGCAGGAGCAGGAGCAGGAGCAGGAGAAAGAAACCACCTCTTTGGCGTGGCTGGCCCGTGGCATCTTTGGCAGAAGCAGCTGGGTGTTCTGGGGCCAGGCAGGGTCCTTTGCTGGCCCAACAGGAAAGAGAGTCTGAGGCTTACATTACTGAGCCAAATTTGCTGGTTTCCCTAGAAAACAGATGACAGCCTAAGGATTGATTAAAGTTTAACCAAACAGGAAAAAATTAGCACTTACCAGGAATAACACCCCAGTGACAGCTGGGAACGAACCTGCTTTCTGCTGTTTCTTCTTCGTCTTACTTTTCTTCTTTTTCTCAGCCTTGTTTTTGTGTGGCCTCTTTTTCTGGCTTTCTTCTTTATACCAGGGTCCCCAGACTCCTCCGTTGAGCCGAGGGTTACTTCTGGGGTCTTTGGGCGGGTACCTGACTGGAACTGCGGTTTTGTTGAACTGGGAGAGCCTCCTGAGAAGCTGCTTCACGATGCCGGGGTACCTGCTGGACAGGTCCACTCTCTCATACGGGTCTGCTGTGATGTTGAACAGCCACACAGTCTTGCCAGTGGACAAGGTAACCCGCTCATTGTGCCACCTGTTCGGCCCTAGGTTGCTGAAGGACTGAGGGGGAACCCAGTCACTATAGCCAGGGTTTCCAGTGAGCAGCTTCCAGTGCTGCACCCTGATGGCTGACTGGATGGCAGTGTTCCATATCCCATAGCCTGCTGCCAAGGAGCCATTTTTAGCCTTGGTATAGATGGGGTCAATGTTGTGCAAGATATCCACGCGGGGAGAGCGAAGGCCTTCACTTATGGTCTCCCAGACGTCGTAGCCATCCAGCTGGATGTCTTCATCAATCTGCCCTTCAGCCAGTGAGATCAGAGTGGGGTACCAGTCTGTGATGTGCACAAGCTCTTTACACACCGTGCCCTTGTTTTTCAGAAGTGGGCTGTGCACAAAGCCAACAGCCCGAACGCCCCCCTCCCAGTATGTTCCCTTGCTGCCTCTGAGAGGCCAGTTACTTCCTCCCGCTGTGGGCTGGCCGCCATTGTCCGAGGAGTAGATGATAATGCTGTTGTCGTAGAAACCAAACCTCTGTAGAGCCAGGGTCACGTTGTTGATTGCTTCATCTAAGCAGGAGAGCATGGCAGCATACCTCCGCCTGTTTATGTTGATAATGGACCGGTAGTGCTCAAAATACTTGCCAGGGGCTTGCAGCGGTGAGTGGACTGCTTGGTAGGCAATATATAAAAATATGGGCTTCCTGGGGTCGTGGGCCTCTAAGATCTGCTGCACTCTCTGGGTGTACATCTGCGTGGAGTAAACACCATTGTCGGAGTCCCAGGCGGCGCTGTCGTTCTCGTACAAGTCATAGCCACACATGCCTGGACTGTCACATTTATAGTGCGTGTAGTAATCACCGCTCCCCAGGAGGGAGCCAAAAAAGGTGTCAAATCCTCTCTTGGTGGGCATACATTCTTTCCTGTAAAAACCCAGATGCCACTTGCCAACCATGTGTGTTGAGTATCCCACCTCCTTCAGCTTCTGAGGTAGGGTTGCATTGTCCAGAGGTAAACAGTTGGGCTGGGTAGGTCTGATGATAGAATGCTGAAGGCCGGTGTGGATCTGATACCTTTGCAAAAGAGTGAAGTTTTCTGGTCAGTGCAGAATTAAAGCAATATTCTACAGGAAAACAACAATTCTTCACTCAGTAATGTTTCTATCAAAACAAACTTCACCCCCCAATAAAATATCACCAATTCAGCATTGCTACTGCTGTAAGACTCCACACTCTTACTTTCGCTGGTTTTAAGTTTTAACAACTGTGATACATTTGACTAAATTTGTACTTTTGAAACTAACATTTCCCTATTCATCTCAAGTTTTGTTTGAAGTTCTGGTATCAAAATTAATTTGAATAAACATTAATCTTCTAATTAATTATAGGGCAGAAAACAAACAAGAGAAAGGATATAAATTTCAGAATATTGCTATTATTATTTCTGGTGTAGGGAACCCAGTTTAGCTGCTACATTATTTCTACTATTATTATTTAATTTGCATTAACTCTAAAGTACTAAAATATATTTATATGCGCATATATATATATACACACACACAAATTTCCTTTTTGATTGTCAAATTACATTTTATATTTAGTCTCTCTTAAAAGAAAAAAAAAGTTTTGATTCACAATCCATTAAGAGTTGTGAAAAAAATTTGGAGTAAATGCGTTAGCTAGTATAAAGAAGGAATTAAAATTTCTATCAAAATAGCAGGAAGTTACTTATTTCATGTTTTTCAGTGTTCTTTTTAAAGTAAAATTACATTCATTTATGCTGTAGTTAGAAAGACTTGGGAACCCTTTCTATATATTAAAAGAAAGTGAATTTTAATTTCTGACAATATTCTTTTTACAAGATTATTTTGTGAAGGCTTTTTGCTCACAAGTGTTTATTACCTAAGTGTGTGGATTTTCAATGTGGTCAGATGTGCCTATTAGTTCATGAATTTTTTTTTTTAAAGATTTATTTATTTGTACATACAGAACTGGGGTACAGGCCAGAGGCTCAGGGGCGGTGAGAGGCTTCACCAGAGACAGAGTGGGGAGCAGAACAGGCAGATCAACGAAGTACACTGCTGAGGGGAGCAGCGGGCGGGCCAGGAGGGGTCTGCCACGCCATGTGGGTCACCTCCCGGGGAGGCGGGAATTGAACTCATGCGGAAGTGGCTTTTTAGCTTCTCAGTGCAGTGCTTTAACCCGCTGCGCCACCAGGGAGGGCCATTAGTTCATGAATTTTAAGGCTACCTACCGTTATATAAATAACTAAAAGAATCTATAGTTTATATGTGTTCAATAAATGTTGTAAGTAGAAAATACAGACATCCTTAAGAAATGAAGTTTGTAGAGAGTGTCTGTGTACATGTGAAAATCTTCCTGGAATTAAATTTCAAGAGTAATATACAAAATCAAATTTGGATCCCTCCCTGGCTGCACAATGGGTTAAAGCACAGTGCTATGAAGCCATCCAAAGCTACTGCAGCACGAGTTCGATCCCCAACCAGGATGGTGACCCACATGGCGTAGCGGGCCGCTCCTGATCCGCCCACTGCTCCCCTCAGCAGTGTACTTCTCAGCCAGCCTGTTACTTATTTGACACTTGGGCCAGACACCATTAGCTTTAGGTGTTCCTGCTCAGTAGAAAGCCTGGTGCGAGAGACAGACAGCATTAAATACCACACCCAGGACAGGTTCCCCAATAGCTCTGAGAAGGGCCATGTTTGATATGAACATTCGCCGGGACCTCTAGGTGAATATGGATAAACAGATTCTTTCTTTCTTTTTGTATTTGTGAAAATATTTTTTATTGCTTTACAATACGGTATGTGATTAAAATATATAGAGCCACAGCTATTGAGATGTATGCTACCACTTTCTGCCCACACCAAGACAGCCACAGCCCTCTGTCACAGTCCGTCGTACTCCTTCCTCATTTGCTCTCTCTCCTTTATGTCTCGAAGCCTCCATTCTACAGTTTGTTATTGGTTTGGTTCTGTCTGACCTTTAGTTCCGTTTCTGTGTATTCCACATTTAAATGAAACCACTTATATGTTTGTTTCTACTTCTGGCTTATTTCATTTAGCACAATCCCCTTCCAGTTCCATGCATGTTGCCACAGATGGCAAGAGTTTATCTTTTTTATAGCCAATGCATTATTCCACTGTGTATGTAAGTCACTTCATCTTCAGCCACTCATCAAGGCAGCATGCATACAAGAGAGTCAGAAAGGGACCTGACCCTGAGTGATTCGTGAAGGAGGAGCAGTCCAGGTGAAGAGCTGAAGGGAAAGCAAAGCGAGTGTTGCAGTAAGAGGGGCAGGCTGTTCAAATTCAAAAAGAGATCTAGGGTTTGACCCTCCGTGGATCAATAATGGAGAATATACGTGAGGATGATACATGTCTTGATAGGAGTTGAGACTACAGAGATAAGTAGGTACCAAATTACAGAGCTGTGTTACAGGATACTCAGGCTTTGTACTTGATGCAGAACTCACAGGAAGCCACAGAAATACATCCGAAAGGAGAATAACACAATAGGAGGCTTGCATTAGAAAAATCACTCTGGTTTTAGTGCGAAGGGTGGGTTACAGTGAAATAAGACAAATGCAGAGAAATGTACCCTAATCGAAGAGATAAATGATGCCATAAACTGAGATGGGTGGCACTGAGAATGAAAAGCAATTAGCATTTATGAAGGATATTCAACAGGGTTGCAGGCTAATAAGCGAAGTCAGTCAGAGACAGAAAGACAAAAGCTGCACGTTCTAGCTTACATGTGGAATCTAAAACAAAGATGGGTGGTTATTAGATGGTGGGGAGGATGTTTGTATGGGGAGAAGTGGGGGAGACACCAACTTCCAGTTATAAGATAAAGTGTGGGGATCTGAAGTAGCACACGGAAACTCTGGCTATGAATACAGTACTGGGTGTATGAACATTGCTAAGAAAGTATATAATAGAACAGTCCAAAGTGGCTGCTCTACAAAGCTGGATGAAAGGAAGATTTGTACAATAAATCAACAAATCCAGGAAGAGGAACAGGAATAAAGGGGAGGGTGACGGGGCCTCTCTGGGCTTAGTTCAGGGGTACGTGTGAAAGACCCATCAAGGTCGGTGTAGGATGGAAAAACTCAAGAGTTGAGATCCACTGGCAAACTGGTGGTAGATGAGTTCAAGGGAGAACATGGCACTATATAAAGACAGAGTGGGCAGTGTAGGGGTTTGTCCAAAGAACTAAGCCAGGAAGTAACGCCATTCAGGAGAAAAGACACGAGTTCTCATTAGAGAGTAGTGGAGGAGAGATTTAGAGAACCTACCATATCACCACGCACTGCAGAGAAATCCAGGAAGCATCAACTGGACTTGGCAATAAGCATTTATGACCTGACCTGACTAATCGTAGTTTAGTAGGATGGTGTGTGGATAAATCTAAATTTTAGTGAGTTGAGTCAGGAATGGGGAGTAAAAAAGCGTAAATGGTGAGAATACTATTTCAAGATATGAAGATAAAAAGACAGAAAATAGTGCACCTGTATGTGCTGATGTGGTGACGTGTGTGTGAAATATAATTGGGTGAAAGGACAGCTGAGTATGACAAAGATTTGAGTGTATTATTACAGCTTTGTCATTTTTAAATAAATTAACAAAGATGTGAAAATCTCACAAGGTTAGCCTTTCACTGTTTTGTCTGTATCACCATAAGCAGCACCTGGTTCTTAAGGGGACAGCAACACATATTTGCTGAATGAGACAACAAATACTTGAATGAATGACGGTGTATAGAGAGTCTATTATAGAGAGAGATATGAGTAGGAAAACATTTAAAGAAAAGCTGTTAGACGTGATTATTTCCAGGACAATCAATTATGGGAGAAGTGGGAGCTTTTACTTTCTGTTATATAAAGTTATGTTAAATGAAATTTGTATCAATGGATCTAAAAAAAAAAAAAGCTAGTTTATTCTAATTTTACCAAGGCCATTAATTAATTTAAAATGAAAACACAAAAAAACAAAAGCAGAAAACCATAAATGCCAAGTGAAACACACATATATATCTTACAGAGGAATGCTCTTCCCTAGCAGCGAAATCTTCTCAAGAGACCACCTTTAGAACAGAAGAAAGGGAATAGGATGCACTCGATGAATTCTGTAATTATCCCCTCAAATCCAGAGAAAATGTTTCTTTAGTATTAAGCAAAACAATTTGTTGTCAAGTAGCTTTTACGATTCCTTTCTTGCAGGTGTACTGCTTACCCCTAAAACTGCCCTGCACAGCCACAATATGTTACCATTGTCACATCAGTGATCACAGTGTTCTAGTTCTCATTAGAGACCTGGCTAAAAATCACATTAAATCTTTTCTTTGGGGAAATTTTCTTTGCAATCATCTTTCCCCTCATGCTTTCTTTCTTACTTGTAATGATTCCTATGAAGACTTACACTTTGTACACACCACTTAAAAAAACAAAGCATAAAATAAAAATGAAAGACTGCCAAGCAACTGTAAAAGAATGTTCATTCATCATTAATGGATTTCCCAACTGCAGAATTATTTATTTACAGTGTAAAATTTAAGAGGAAGCTCCAGAGATATGTTAAAATGATTTAATTTACAGAGGCTGTTTTAAAGACAAATATTTCAAAGAGAAATACCTTGAAAATAAAATTTCAATTTTCCTTGCTATTCTAACCACTACCACAGAGTATTATTCAATCAACTTTTAGATGTGCAAATATAATCTCGATTCTAAATGCAAGTGGCACTCAGTGGTCTAAGCCAAAGAGGAGCTTACTGAGAAAGGACAGGATGATCTCACAGTTATTCACCTGAAATGACATAATCTACCAGGAATGCAAACTTTAATCAAGACAGCTGGTTAATGACAAAGCTTATTAAACAGGTTCGTCCATCTAGGCTAGAGATGAAGTCACCAGGTTAGTGACCTCGGGATATATATTAACCTCGGGATAATTTCACTAGTCTTGTGTTGATGATACTCATGGAGCACAGCTTTTCTTCTTAGTGAGAAAGCTACACTTGAGGTGAGTCTAACTTTCTGGTCAGCAAACTAC